TGTTATTAATTCAGGGATTTCTTTTTTCATTTCCAATCTGAGTTCCTCTGTACCTTTCTGCAGCTGTTTCTTTATTTCAGAAGCCATTGATTCATTGCCTTCAACTGTTGGATTCCCAGTTTGTTCTATGTTAGTGTCCTCTGCACTTCTTATGGATGGGCTTGGGTTCTGAGATTGCATTTTGTTCCTTCTCGTTGTCATTTTGTGTAGCACTATCTTCTGACCTTTGTTGTAGATCTTTGTTGCAGTTTTAACCTTAGCACCTACTGAAGTTCAGGTGCAGATCTACAAAGTTTGGATTTATCTAGCTGTGTCTGGCTTGGGTCTGACTGCTGTGCTCAGCTCCTTTCTGCTGCTGCCCTGGGGGTGAACATGTTGTGCCTCTCTGGCAAGATGTTCTTCTCCTGGACTAGCTGGGTGTTTCTGTCCCCTACACTCTCTGCAGGGATTGCAGCTGAAGAATTTCACCCCAGGCCTGTATGCCAGGCCTGAGCTGAGTCTGGAGGGGACAAGGTGGAGTAGAGGGTAGAGGCAGCTCTCCCACACATTCACTGGGCTTGGGCTAGGACTGGATCTGGGGGTTCCCAGAATGGGGCAGAAATTCCTACTCTGTGGGCGCGGCGTGGGCGGTACTACGGAGTGATGACGGGTGTCCCAAGAGGGTAAAAGAGGGTTTCACTGACACTGCACCTGGACCGGGACCAGTAGGTCATGCCAGCACAGGGTACCTGGAAGCTCTCCCACACACTCACCAAGCCTGAGCTAAGACTGGACCTGGGGGTTCCTGGAATACAGCAGAAATTCCTACTGGGCAGGCGGGGTAGGAGAGGTGCTGCAGAGTGGTCGAGGGTGTCCCAAGCGGGAGGAAGAGTGTCTCACCCATGCTCACCTGGGCTGGGACCAGTAGGTCCCGCTGGCACAGGTTAGCCAGAAGCTCTCCCACACACTCACCGGGCCTGGGCTAGGACTGGGTCTGGGGGTTCCCAGAACATGGCAGAAATTCCTACTGGGCAGGTGGTTAGGGGAGGTGCTGCAGAGTGGTGGGGGGCATTTCAAGGGGGTGGAAGAGAGTCTCACCCACGCTGTGCCTGAGCTGGGACGAGTAGGTCCCACCGGCACAGGGTCCAAGTGCTTATTCTACTGAGCCATCTCCCTGGCTCCTTCTTCTAGGAATTTTGATAGAGGGAAACCATAAGGTGAATGAATTCTAGGAACAAGAGAGGTCAAGAGAATAGAAAGAAAACTTCTATCTGAGAGGGACAGAAGGGGGCCTGGAAAGTTGTTTGTTGACCAACCCAGCTTCTCAAGGGTGTTTACTGAGGAAAGCCACAAGGTGAGGCGGGCTCAAGGTGGAACAGAACTATGACCAATCAATAAGATTACAAGTATAGTTGCTTAGGTAATATTGATCCGCTGGCAAATCGTAGGGTGAGTATGAGGTGGGGCAAACCTATGGTCAACCAATGAATAAATAATAAATATACTTGCGTGGGTAATATTGATTAAATGGGGATCGAGTGGGGAAACAAGTCACAGCAAGCACACATGGGCAGAAAGGATTTTCCTAAAAGGGGCAGGTTAAGGAGGTTTGAGACTGCACCTCAATGTGACTGACATCCTCTTACAATATCAATCGCTGTTATGCATCCCTAGGGGAGGGATCTGGGTGAGCAGTTCTTTTTCTTAAAGCCTGGCCTGCAGTGTTTGTGCCTCCAGCCACAGTGGTCTTCTGCATTGACCTGTTGAGGGCCCAGCCCTGTCTGACTGCCCACAATATTCCTACCCAACGTAGCACACATATGGCCTCACATTACACTGAAAGAAGGTGGTCACTCCATGCAAACTCTCCCCTCCATGTCACCAATGTGGCAGGGACTGTTTCCACTGCACTCTTCCTTCTCCTTTCTGTCCCCCTCATTTCTGGGGCACAGGGCTTCTGCTCCTGTCCAAGGTGGCATCTCCTTGCATCCCCTATGCAGTCCCTGTCCCCTTTGCTCACTGCTCAAACTCTCCTACTTTCTCCCTCTGTGCTGCATCCCCCCTTCACAAGCCACTCCAGTGACCTCTCATCTTGCACTCCCCCCAGGATGCCTTCCAACTACCACAGCATCCTCAGCTTCACAGCAGGATTTGTGGGGGTCAGGGCTGTCAGTACTCACCCTTCTCCACAATTCTCTTGTCAGCCCTTTCTAAGCTGAGCAATGCCCTCACGCAATTTAAACTGCCCCTCCAGAGATTTCTTTTTTAGAAAAATACCAACTGAATTAACCTTATTTTGTAGGGAACATAGAAAACGTGCAAATATTGATATTGTGTTTTTAAAAAAAAAACCTGTATATTATTCAAATTTTAAAAATCAGCCAGTGTGACACTAAAAATGTATGACCAGAGTGAGATTTCACAGAGATTTCTTGTTTTCCCTGAGGGCCGGCTCTGCTCCATCTGGCAAGGCATCTTGTCTTCAGGGTGCTCTGGCTCCTCAGGATTAACAGGCTTAACTCCCTGAGTCAGCCCAGGACATTAGACTTGAACCCGTTCAGTGTCACAAGACACTCCATGTTAAAAAAAAAAA